TCGCTCACTTCCCGATCTACTGAGCCGACCTGTGACAGTGTCATTGTCACAGGTCGGCTAGAACTATGAGGTGAGTGAAAAGCACTCACCTCATGGTTCTCCTTTTAAGTATTCCTAAACAAAACCTTTTCTGTAGCTTCCAGTAGTGCTCTACATAAAAATGATTTACAATTGCACGTCAGTTTCTATAGCTGGGGATGCGGCTACTTATGTGATCTTCTAAAGCAGACCATCAAAACAAATTCTTATTTGTGCCTATTTTACTTTAAAACGATTGGGAGGCATTTGGTAGCATGCTACGTCACTGCTGCCACAACCCTCTTCCCAACCAGAAATGTGGCTGAGGAGTGGCCATTAAATTTGTAATTCTTCTAGATAAGAAGCATAGGGTCCATACAAATAGTATTTTTTCCACTGAGATCTTAAATCACACTACGATTTTTACATTAATTTAGCTTAAACTAGATAATGTGTTCTTAAAATGTAAATATTTTGGATGAACTTTGTCTTTAAGACACTAGGGGGTTGATTTACTAACGGCAAATAGGCTTTTTTACTTTGCAGGGGAATTTTCCCTTTGCTGGGTGAATGAGGGGAGGTTCTGTTGACTTTCTTCTTCCAATCGTGTTAGTAAAAATATTGTTTTTCCTATTTTCTTTGCACATGATTGGGTATTTAATAATATACCTAAAGCAATGGAATATCTCAGTGCTTTATATTTTATTGGGTTTTTGTACCTAGGTACACTTAGGGTGGATTTAGGTATTTAGGAAAAGTAGTCTGTTTCTTTGGGTTTGGATTAGGGTTGCATTTGGCACTTCAACTGTATCGTCGAGCTATCAATATGCCTGTGAACAACAAAACCATAAACATATACAACCACATTTATCACATTGTTAAGGAGTGTTTTCAGGTATATCTGTGTTTTGGAGTATTTTTACTGAAGTCATCTTTTTCCCATGTTAACAGTTACTACTAATATTACTAACAGAAGAATTACAGTGAAACCAGCACATTTAACATACTTCCACATTCCTCCGTTCCCAGGCTCCACTAATCTTTTTTAAATAACACGCATGCTTTTCCCCTTCTTTTCCATGGGAGGGAATGCAACACAATGGTGACTTTTCATGCGTCTTCATAGAGGATCTCATGTTTGAGATACCTGTGGAAATATCTGATCTAACAAAAGACTATTTCATAGGACTCCATGTCCATCATTAGGTTTTTTTCCATACAGATCTATCGATAGAGGCCTCAGGTCTGACTGCACTTATTTTCTACAGTCAGAATAATATTTGTAAGATAATAAGAATAATACAAGTATGTATTAACTCTAGAATGTCCCTTAGTCAGAATGCATTTTTTCTTACAAAAGTCATGGCTTTGAAAGACATACTGTAAACCTGGATTTATATTGTTTATAAAATAATTCAAGCTTTGAAACTGTATTCAAAACCTGCCTTCTACAGTATATAGCACACGAGTCATACAAGATTAAACCATAGAAAATAATCCTGTGATTTTATACTTTAGTATTAATAGGGAACTCAGCATATGTGAAAGAATTGGTGCTGTGCAATGCTGAGCTCTGTATCAGCTAGTAACATTCTTATACCAGACATGCAGTTGGTTGCCCTGTGATTCAGCACATTTGTTCTTTTTGGATTATTTAAAGTATAATTCCACCCTTTTTTAAATTAGGACAGCCAATTAATCGACCTTGTAATTAGTCCTTCCAACTCGTTCCCGTAGGGTTGCATAGGCGTTTGTAGCATCCCTGTGCCCGAAGGACATTTCTCAAGTTTTCCCAAGGAGCCCATGTGTAACATATTTTTGAAAAGAAGCTTTAAAAAAATACTCTTTCACATTTCTAAAGCAAAACATTGTGCTTTACAAATGTGCTTCCAGATTAGCTTACATAAACTGTAAAGCAACCAAAGCCACATTTATTCTAATACATGGGATACAAATAGTACTGGGAGAAGGAAGAAACTTGTCACATGACTTTGGAAGGGCAGCAGGGCTCTTCTGTTCTGGAGCATGCTCTGCAGTGTGATGCTTTAAAATGTATGAATGTAACATAAGAATACAGTCTCAGACTTATCTCTGCAAAATCCTGTGAAGAGTCGTATCTGCTCCCTGTTATGAACAGGGACCTTAGAATGTTGTGTCTGTGTTAACATCCCATTGTCAACTGTAGATAATGCTAGACTGTTGTAGATAGACAAGTATAAAACTAAACTCCAGTAAGCTGAATAAAATCACCTTGCAGTGTGTGTGTGTGTCCCTAAATCCAACAAGCACAACGCACTCCTTACAGCATTCAGGCTTAATCATAAAAGGGTGCTATGGTAAAATGTCAGATGGCCCTGCCACGACATACTGTAAGTCAAAGTCCAAGATATCACCAGTACACAGGGTTCAGATCAGGAAAGAGGACATTTTATTCTAGCCTACAAAAAGTGACATATTAAGGCCACTAGGGACCTCTTCCTCAGGCTGCAATGACTGTGTCTAATCCTTAACCCCCAGTCAAAATGAGCAATTAAGCACCTGCTAATTGGGGGTTCCCATCAGAAGGAGAATTTTTTTATCTGACTGGAGTTTAGTTTTACATTTCGTATTGGGTATAGTGGATACTTGAATGAATAATGCCACAACGTAGGGAATAAATATAATCTACTTAGATTAGTTAGATTTTGCCAAATCCAAATTTGTCAGGATACTAGAAAGTGGAATTACAATATAAAAGCAACTAGTAACAGGTGAGTTTATGCAAACTGCTAAATGTTAAAATGAGTCAAGTTGTGCAGTTTTAAAGTGACACTAAACTCAGGAGTTAAATCTTAAAAATGCATTCAAGTATCTTAACTATTAACACAAATGTACCTTATTTGTGTATCACTCAGCTGTAGATCCTCAAATCATCTCTGAATTGGTGCAGACACTGTCCTTCCTTCTGGGGGGGGTGGCTAATTTCGTTCCCTATGGTCCCTGTGTTATAAAGTAGTCACCGCTCAAAGCTCACTCCTGTGATGGACTATAATCTCATGTTTAGTTTATTCATTTGTATTGAGGTTGTAGTCCATCACATGAGCGTGGTTGGAGGGGTAGTTACTTTACAACACACATAGGGAATAAAAGTAGCCACCCTCCAGAAGGAAGGACAGTGTCAACATGAATTCAGAGATGATTTGAGGATCTACAGCTAAATAATGCAAAATAAGCTACATTTTTGTTAATAGATAGGTACTTGAATGCATTTTTAAGATTTAACTCCAGAGTTTAATGTAATTTTAAGCTGGTCATACACTGGTAAATTTTCACATGAACTTTCATACAAAATATCTTGTCCGAACATTCGATAATGCCATCAGAAACTGACGAATGTCGTTCGAAATTTTATATAATATAAACATTTTGGAATGAAAACCACATTCACTCTCAAGTTCATTTGTTTGAGAAAGTTGTTTTGATCCCATTAATTATTAAAAAATTGAACGAACATTGCAGTTTTTTCAAAAGAATTTCTACTGGTGTATGGCCAGCTTTACTTTCAGTTTGTTATGTTATTTACCTTTATGTACTCAGTCTGAATTTGGCACTTCAAGTTGTGTCAGGGAAGATGACCTGAAGTCTGTTATCTATTGCTATATCAACTGTGGATACAGCAGTTGATAGGGGAGCAGATGTTAAATGAGCTCTTACCCCTGATATAAGCTTAAGTGTCAGACATAAACAGTGTAATTAAAGATAAATAACGGAACACATATGAACATTTCATGAATATGACTGCACTGTCATCCTGATTTTAGTTTAAATATTCTGATTTTTACATCAGCGTAATCATGACTGGCTCTTTAGCCGTAATGAGTGGTGCTATTCACATACTATGAAGGAATCTGAATGTATAACTAGCACAGTACAATACAGTACAATAGGCCTTTCATACAACACGCTGAACCCTATCTGTAACATTGATGTTAAGTTACCACAATCTTATGAAATAATCAGATCTAAATCATGATTTAAGCAATTTAATGTATGTATATATTATTATTATTATTAAGCATTGAAGAGATTGCATTATGTTTTAATGTAACCAGTGCTATAAAAAATAAAGGGTTTAACTGAAAGAATGACTTGTCATGGAGAAAGTGTTATACATCTTGATTCCTCTACCAGAGACATAGATTCCTGAAGCTTACAGAACTAAATACCTAACCTTACTGATGTAATGCAAGATTTGGACCCCCTTTTCTACTTTTCTAGATGGGACCCCAGAAATATTAATCTGTAGCTTTAAAATAAAGTATATATGTTGATGGAATTATTGACATAATTCCTGCGCCATGAGACAATTATTAAATAAATAGGTTCGGTATTAGGAGTACAAAGTAGCTGCCAACAGAAGATATGTGAAAGCCAAAACTTAGGCTGGCCTTATCTCGAGATGAGTGTATGTGACTAAGGCACAGCTAAGTGGCTTTTGCTGCAATATACTGTATTCAAAGGTCATATCCATAATGATTGGGTAAATGGAAGTATATGTAATATGTAAATAACATTCACCACTATGACCTAAATCTGCCAACCTAACTGTTTAAAGCACTATTCTATGCAATTTGGCTGTTTCAAAAATGTCTCCCTGATTGTGACAACTGTCAAAAATTTCCCATAGACTTTATAGGCGTGAACAAAAGAGGAGCCTAAGCCAGTTGACTTAGTGAAACATGAGTGACATATTACACTCACATGGTCCTTTTACCTTTCATTACTGAGTACAGTGGTCCTTTAGACTGAAATTGTTCCACTACTGTATATGAAGAACTAAATTGTGGAAGGCACACTAAGTAAGAAATAATGTTGTAGACACTTTCTCAGCAAGATTTCACATTTCTCTCTTTAATAAGTTGTATTATCTTTTTGGCTAACCTGAAAATAGTGCTGTATAAATATGCATTTCCAAGTATTTACATTTTTTAAAACTTCTACAGGTACGTAGAACAGATTTAGAAGAATACAATGCCTCCAGGAGCTATTGGGACACACTGAGGCGTAGCACAAGCCAAGCTCTCTTTTCGGACCTTGCTGAGGTATAACAAAACCTCTCTGGTCCAATAAAAAACATTTGTAATGCGTATATCTCATTACCTTTTCCCTATCATAAATCATCAGTGTTATTTCCAATCTTAAGTTACCTATATCCATTTTTAGCATGCTATTGTCTTGTGTCTTTTCTTTTGGTTGTTTGTCAAATACTTTCTTTCTTTCTTCCGTTCTCTCTTTTATTTATTGTGAAATACTTTAATACTTGACAGTACAGAAGAGTAACGTCTATACCGGTGGGTGTGTATATACGTGGTGTGTATGATTTCATGGATTTTGGTAATGTACCTTTTTGGAAATTGAGTGAATGTATGCTTCGTTTAGTAGTTTTTCCATGCTCCAAAGGTTCTGTGCTTGAGTTGCAACATTGTTGATAAATGTGAAATTTAGGGTCATCAATTCTAAAGGTCAGTTAGAAAGTTGCATTTCTAAAATATTGCAAGCTTATTGTGCTTAAAGTATAACTAAAGGCAAACCTTTTTTATGTTAGAGTGGATACACCTGTCATGTTCTTATGGCTGTCTGTGTCTTTGTTAGTTTCTGTTTGTCCTGCTGACCATTGTCACTGAGAGTGAAAGTGAAAGATCCCAAATTTTGAGTGGTCACCAGAACAGACAAAGGACAGATCTGCCAATGAGCATACTAGTTCTGGTGCCAACCAGGGATTCCTTTCACTTTGGAGGGATTTCCTCTTAATTCCTGCTGTGGTTATTGGAGAGAAAGTGAAGGAAAATCTTCACAATGGGACAAAATGGCAAAAATACTGACAGGGTTTATATCTCTTCTTTACCCTATCCAAAATGAAAGAAAAAAAGGTTTGGCTTTAGTTCTACCTAAAACTGCTATTAACTTGCCCTCAGCATTAATAATTTATTACATTGCTCATGAGAATAGCTTTCTAGCCTTAGCAAAAGACTTAACCAATAAAATATTGTAACACATTTGCAATAAATTAGCAAATTAGTCTTTCATGTACACTTTCCCACCAATGTCCACTGTAGATGACTTGTGGCATGGAGTAACTGCTGATTTTATATCTAAAGGGCATGGATGAGCTTTCCAGTTCAATGATACATACCACACTTCTTGTGCATTTGTTTGGGAAGAAAGGGAAAATTGAGCTCAACTTTGATGATTTTTACAGGTATGTTAATATATATATTTATTTATTTATTCTTTCATTTATCTGCATGGTAGCGAAACCACTCAAGGACAGTGGCTTGTCTCTCGTTTTGAAGCCATGTGGACACGAGCAATCTTGATGCATCCCACCACTGGCAAAATTCCCAACAGACATCCAAAAATGAAACCAACATTACGACATTTTCCATTACGTCTGTATTGTAGATTAATAATTGCAATGGCTGCTATCACCCTATCAGACTTGTCCCTCTTCACTATCTTCCATTCAGAAAATGTCTTGTATTTTTTTAAAGAATACAAGACATTCTGTGATTGGAGGAGAGGAGGGGGTGGGGATGTGGCACCGTTACTCCTCTAGCAATCAAAGAATGTCTTGTGTTCTTTGGAAAATACAAAATATTTTCTGAATAGAAGATGGGGAAGAGGGGCAGTTGATGGGACCAGAAGGCTGTATTGCTCGAGTCACATCTCTCCCTCTCTTCAGTGCCCAGGAGCTGGGCGTTGTTTGCAGGGGACGGGGTGCTGCAAGGTAAGATTTTTATACTTTGCAGCCCTCCACATATAACAGCCAGCTTTTGAATGATATTAAAGAAAAGCCATGTCATATGAAGTTTTCTTTTACAACACTAAAAGCCATATTTATATGGTGAATCTTCTTTTTGCATGTGTTGTAAAACAGTTATTGATGTAACACCACTGCATCTTTGTTGAAAGTTACACTTAATACCTAATAAATATTCCCCCAATGTTATTTTTTAGTCACATTCTAGTCATATGTTTACCAAGCTTGTTATTTGTTACAGCAATATGCTTTATGTTTTTGTTTCAATTCCATTAGAAACTCAATTAAATTACAGGTCCCTGTTGAATATTTTCATCTTAATGAGCTACGAGTTCTGCACAGGGATACATTAATAAGGCCTTATTCAATACACAAGTGTTACATATTTCATTACTTGTTTAAAATATGTGCTATTTCTGCAGCAGATGATGTGTTATATTTTTTTGTAGTTTCTGTCCGATGAAAACATATTCTATCAATAAAAAAATGTTTATCTCATTCCTTTTCTTAGATTCATGGATAACCTTCAGACCGAGGTACTTGAGATCGAGTTCCTGTCTTATTCTAAAGGCATGAACACAATCAGTGAAGAAGACTTTGCCCACATTCTCTTACGCTACACAAATGTGGAAAACACATCTAGTTACTTGGAGAGTGTTCGTGTACGGATCCCAGAAGAAAAGGTGATTTATTTCAACATGTCTACAAAACATATAAATTATTTTTTATTTTCTTGCCTGCCAGTGTATTTGCATATCGCATAAGGCTCTTTTACTGTCAGGCTTCACATGTGAAATAAAAGTAGACTTTAGCCAATTCCATGTTAGTAGCTGCAGATCATAGCCACGCCTATGTCTTGGGTAATATTGTGAACAGTTACCATAATTGTATGTGTTTAAAATTAAGGTGGTACCATATGGAGTTATATATTTCTATATTACTGACTCTTTTGTCTAGTCCCGCAAAAGTATAATACCAGCTGTCACTTTTAACCCTTCTTTATAGATCAATGGCCTGCACAGAAAAATATAAACCATTACATAGAATTTTTGTTTTCTGTGCAGGCATATGCCTTTTGCTTACATAGTTGTCAATGTAACTAATAGATATTTCACCCCGAGCCACTTTTCGTTTAGGTTTACTGGCCTTTGAGTGCTGTTTACTGATACCATAGCTTCTGTATCTTAAGCTACTTTTTTTTATTACCCTATTAATATAAATGGCACATTTGCTAAATATTGATATGTACAATGTTAAAGCTAAACTCCAGGCAAACATCTCACTACATAGATTATATAAATTGTATATATCAGAAAAGTAATATAGTAGTTATAGTTGGTGCCTGAGGAGGACAGCTCCTGGTTCTTTTAGTTCAGCCCCTGGTTTCTTATATGTCTTGGATACTCCAGCGATAACCCTGACATAATCTCTGTTCCTGTCCACATGGGAGTTTTGGGTGCTACTGCTTACCTTTGAATATATCAGCTCCACTTCTTGCATTCTTTGCAGTATAAAGTTATTAGAAACTCGCAAGTAGAGAGGGGGCACAATTGCCAAAGAAACTCAAGGACAGATATGTCATCAATAGGTTCCCCTGAAAAATACATTGCCATGTGGTTTAAAGGAGAACTATGGGGTCAGTGTTTTTCCCCATAGTTCTCCTTAGGGTAACGGGAGGACACAAACTAGCATCCTCCCGTTACCCTAAGCTCAGTATACCGCGAGCTACAGCTCGCGGTATACTGAGACGCCGGAGCGGATCCCGACGTAGATGACGAGATCCGCCCAGCTGCGTGAGTGACAGCTGGCTCTGCCTATCTAGAGGCAGAGCCAGCTGTACCCGCCCCCTCCCCCGTCCATTCCGCCAGTCAGCGCTGGCAGATCGGAGCGGGGAGAGGGGAATCCAGCCCCTCCCCCTGTCACGGCAGAGAGCCGTGACAGGATCGAGAGGTGAGCGAAACTGATATGAACAATAGTATGAACCTGGTATGAACAACACGCTCACCTCCCGATCTACTGAGCCGACCTGTGACAGTCTCATTGTCACAGGTCGGCTAGAACTATGAGGTGAGTGGAAATCACTCATCTTATAGTTCTCCTTTAACTTCTCCAGCATCTACCAAAAACTGAAACTGACCCTTTAAACGATTATATGTATCTAAATTAGATGTATAGGAACAAAGGAAGCATCTTTTTTATTTTCAGAGGTGAAGAGATAGAATTTCACTTTGTACTTCTAAGTGACAGATTTGGTCTCCTTTATGTTTGGAGACTTGTAGGTTTTATTGATGAGATTGCTCTGCTGCCAAGAGGAGAATTTCAAAGTGTTCCAAATAACTGATGGATTTCTTAGAACCTTGTGTGTCTAACTGGTTCATTTCTTGTGTAACAAATGCATTGTATGGCTGGTACCTATGCAATAGAAATACCTATTGGCAAAAAAAATGCCTCAGCGCTAACCAATAGGGCTGATGTTACAAGTAGTCCCTGAGGCGTGGGATGTTTGGCATGTATTCTTCTGTTTGTATTTGTGGTAGGATCAGGTTAATCTGTATTAAGGAAAACTTGCAAACAGTTTTGTCTTTGCCTGTAATGGCTACACTTTGGCAGTGTTGACAGTGCTGCTTGTGGACTAGAAAACCTTAAAGTGTACTTAGAGCAAGACCTATTGTTACCAAGACTTTCATCTCACTGCTTGGTCAAAAGCTGAATGGCCTTTAATTGAGCGGTGTGTCAATGGTTTCTCATCGCTTCTCACCATATAAAAACAAGTATTGTTGTATAATTTAAGAAAGTATGTGGAACATACTATTTATTGGCTTTCCCCTACATTTAACACCTCTTTGTTTTATTTCTCTGTTGTAATGTAAGCACAAGGGTCGTGTTTGAAATGTTAATGACTGAAGACTGAAAGTTGGCTGTTTGTATTGGGGATATGTCTGGTAACCTGTGTTTAGGTCTAAGGCAATTTAGTTGAAGCCAGCCTGTCACTGCATAGTTATATACATTTTGCATTTTGCTGCACCAATATGACAGCAGGCACTTATATGTGTCTGCAGTATTTTTTTAAAAGTTGTCTTCTCACTCCACAGGAACTGCTTAAAAGTAAAACTAGGAGCGAATCCTGGTTTGGCAAGTTCAAGGGAGATGCCATACTCCTCCCCCCCCCTTCCTTAGATATGCCTTATTGTACTCTGTAACCTGCCCAAAAAGTGTAGAAGAGGTGTCTTGACAGAGATGCATTGTGTAAACAGTGATATGCGCAATCTACAGAAGAAGCAGAGCATTATGGGGAGGATTAATAGAAATGTAACAGGGCATTGAAGTTTACTGTTAAACTTGCAGCGGGCAAGGACACAGTTGTGCAGTAGACTACAGGTGTGGGCAGGCATCTTACCTTATAGAAAAGGCTTAGCTGTAACATAGTCACTAAAGCATATTACATACATATTCCACAAAAGTATTCGGGAACTATACCTAACGGCTGGTTCTCAGAGATATGAGGTCACTTCCATCCTCCTGATCAAAGGTGGGTCTCGTCCCACACCATACCTGACTAGACATGATCAAGGCAGATTCACCAAACCTGTCAAATTTAGGTGTCTCCTACAGATGAAATTCACAACTATTGAGTGACAGAGAATCTCCCTTCTTTGCCTCCACTGGTGCAGAGCTTTTAGATTTGCTGCACACAACAAAGGGACCTGAGTAGACGTGAACAACTTCAGTTCTATGGGATTGTATATGACTAGAGGTGAGCAAATTGAAATATTCTAAGAATCAAGCAGCTCAGGGATTGGATGTGTCTGAAACATTCCAGCCAGCCATTTCTATGAATTACAGTTCTCAGGTTGAATATTATAAAAAGCATCTCTCGCCAAAATGCTCATACACAAGTATATATAACAAGTAACTAGTCCACAGACGTTATTAATAACAACAGAATATAACACAAAAAAAGCTCAAATCAAAGTAAAGACCATTGCATCTAAATCAGAGTAGAGGGATTAGCTGGAAATATGAGGTGATAGCGGTCTGTGTTACTTATGCATGTAAAATTGCATGAGAAAATATAGCGATAGGTACAGTGATCCAGGCATTGGTAATGGTATCAGCACTGAAAGAGGTCGGAGATTGAAGGAAGCCATAGATCAGGCATTGGCTCTCTGTCTCTTACATTTGTGATGTTCACAGTCTCATGCAGAAAGTAAAGCCTTTTGTGCCATGTGCCAACACATACCGTAGCAGAGACATTTTTAAAATAAGGTGGATGTGTCAAAGCCGATATATATTTCAGCTTTCTGAATGTATTATCATTATATGCTTTGGATTTTCCGGAACTCTGACAGGGCTCTGCTGGGGCAAGGTGACACAGCAAACATACTTTGAGACACACTATGGTCTGTTCTCTTTTCTCTTAGCACTTTCTATTTTCTGTGGTCAGTGCAGGTTGACATAAAAAAAAAACTGAAAATAACAGTAGAAATGTATTTACATTGGTGATTTAGTAGATCACTACTTTATTTCCCTTCCATCCGTGCTTTCCCATCTCACACCTCTAGAAACGGCAGTGACAGGTAAGTAGATGGAAGCATCCCGTAGTTCTGGAAGTGATAGCTCCTGAACTAGGAAGGAGGCTTCAGCACTTCCCTTCATTTACTGTTCAGTGCAGTTGGAGAACATTCTACTGAACCACCATGTACACTGTAAAATGTACACTCCTGTCCAGCTATAGAAACAAGCCATGCTTTCTAGGCAAATCACAGTTGCCAACATTAGAAAATAGTTTAAGGAGATACTTTGATACCAGTGATGGGTTTCTAAAATGGTTGCTTAAAGGTTTCACAGTGGGTTGCAATGCACTGTAATCACATTATAACTACACCTCTCTAGTTCGATCCTGATTTTGTGGGATCTTGTGTCAGCTTTAATGCCTAGTGATTTGCTGGGCATAGCATGTCCTTAGTCAAGTCTGGCTCAGCTATAGAGTCAGAATGTCAACAAGGTGTTTGCTTACATGTTATCCCAGCATGTCTTTCATGTAAGTAAACACTATTTTCAAGCTGCCTTTATAGTTCTTTTTTCTTTCTCCCTGGTTCGTAAATGAGGAAAATACCTGTTTAGTTAAAGATCCATCCCATCTATATAATTATAATTCTTTCACAAGTAACCCTGCCTACTGGATAGAGGAATAACAGTTATTGTTTTTCTTTTAGTCTGAAAGAGATCACAGTGAATGCATGGAATGGTTTATTTAAAACGCGTTAGTTTACATATCTGCATATACAGTATATAGGAAATGCTGGAACAAGGCACCTTTTAGGCACTCCCTAAAGTAGTTCCATCCAATTGATCTATGGGATGTTCCCACTTCTCCTGCTGCATCATTCTGCATAATGTATAGTGAATTAAACATTCCAAGGGGAGATTGGAACTTGCTTGTATTGGCCATGGCAGGTATTCAGGTCTGGAAATTTGCTTAGAGATATTACTTACAGTGGACCCAGGGGACAATGGAAACTGAGTTTAACTCTTCCATATCCTCCACAATATACTGTAAAGTACTAAAACTGTTTTATAAGGCAGTGCAAAGTACAGTGGTGATATGCAAAGTGTAATTAACCCACACCAACTGATTGGATTTTAGTTTTCTAGAGTGATAAATGACAAATATATTTGATTGGTTGCTATTGGCTTTTTTAATTTGCCATATAATAAAATAAACAGTCAATTGCGCCTACTACATGCTCCCTGTTGTACACAGTACCGGATGTTTTTTTTCATCCAGTGTTAATCAGAAGGGTAATGCTAGCATGATGCAAGTGAAACATGTATTGCTGGTAACATGCATAAAGAAACAAATGTTAATATAAAAAAAGCAAAAAGTACACCTGACATCTGCTATCAAAATCACATTAGTGATGTAATGTTCAATGATGCAAAAATAAGGGAAGCAGCAGTATTGCAAAGCCCATAAGCTGCAACTTAATCTTTTGGTAGAATTTCAGTACCTGACCCCTTGGGGGCATTACAATCAGTAACTCACCCTACAGTATCTATCTTACCTTATCCCTTAAATTTAATAGGACACAAGACCAAATTAATGCTTTGTGAGTGACAGATATGTCTGCAGTGTTTCCCCCCTTCTCCCTACATAGTCCCTTAGATGGACATGCGGATTTAATGATGCACCAGTCAACACAGATGTCTGAGGAGGGTCAGGTCATGCGCCATGTCTGACTGCCCTCTAGAGACTATGGCCAGCTTTGCTGTCTCATGAACACTAGCCTGGTCTTCTGTAGAACAACTGTGAGCTTTGTCACTGTACTATAGAGGCATCTATTTGAAATTACATAACATTAGCTAATTGGAACATTTTTATTCTAATGTGATGAAGATCAGCTCCAGACAACATGTAACATTAGTCAGCTAAATACATATACTGTCCAAAATAAGTCAAGTATTCCAGTAAGTTTCCTCTAATATGAGATGCATAGAGAATGTGTAATGGTTTTGTATATATTTTCTTTCTTTACTGATTATTGTCAGGAATATTTTTTTTTTATTCAGCAAAATAAGGAATATTGCTACAATTAGTGCATCTACATTATAACTATGAATGAATACTGGCTTCTCATAAATCTAGTCTCTCTAAATTTGATAAGCTCTGGAGACCATGGGCCATGTGGTATCCAACCTATCTGAATAGACAATGACCCTTTACACCCTGTATATCGGCATCGCACTGAACATGTTTTTTTTATTTTTTTTGCTATATGCTCCCTCATCTGTACTTACCTTAACCCTTTTTATTTTCCTTACTATTATGTTAAATTTTGTACTTACAAATAATATGCACACGTTTATTTGTATACCTTCGGAAAAATCCAATAAAAATCTATTTGTTAAAAAAAAAATAAGGAATATTGAATATAAATAATTTTAATTAATAAACCTCCTCCAGATGGGGCTTTAGTTTTCTTATTACATGTCTTCCAGAAACTGTTTAGAAGTTTTTTGTTTAATGAGCTCCATAGCTGAGGCTGTAGTTTAAAGACATGACACATTGAATTTCTAATTCCAATGACTTATCCATTTTTACAGGACTCATTCCAATAGAGCCAGTGTTTTGATACAGGCTGGTTCTGCTGTGCTGTCTCTTTAGTTAACCCGTAGTGCTCTGGAAATCCCTTGCCATGTAAGAAATGTTTGTCATGCAAAGATTATATCCATATAGTAAAACAAACAGATGTAAAACTATAAAACACCAGTTTAAAAATGTAAATCCGATGTGAAAGAGAGATCTTGCTGCTGGAATCTCCAAGAGATATAAGAAAGGAATGACTTAGCCCAGCAGACCATCTACAATCATCGCTTTTGGGTGGAATGACCCTGTAAATCATAAGCGAGCTGATGAAGCCAGCAGTGCTAGATGACTGGAGCCTGGAAGCATTGCATTGCTGGCTGCAACACAGGGAGATCAGAAAGTTCAGTTTTGTACAGGAAATATCAGGTTGCATATTACAACCTTCTAAATGACTTTTATTCATCGCCTGCTGATACTTTCATCTACTTATCTAGATAAAATCATTGAGGAACTAACCTTGGCTTTCTGCTCTGCTTCTCAGGGAATCACGTTTGATGACTTTAGATCCTTCTTCCAGTTTCTAAACAATCTAGAAGATTTTGCCATTGCAATGCAAATGTACAACTTTGCAAGTCGATCGATCGGCCAAGGTGAGCGACAGTGACATTACCTATAAGAAAAAAATCACGATGTGTGCCTGTTCTGTTTCTGCTTAGGTCAGCTGCTTGTAATGTAATCTGTTGCTGTCTGTCAGACAAACAAAAAAGTGCAAAGTTGCAAATAAGGGAAACAGGTCAAAAAGTAAAAAGAACGGTGTCAGAAATTGGAAAGTAAAATATTCATACATATGATGAACTCAGTTTTCCTATCAAATGTACAAATAGAACATGTTGTATAGGTAACCTGCAGATGGGTGCATGCCTACCTATTAAGGAAAATGCTCTGGAAAGTTTTCAATGGCAGGTAACCACATAAAAGTTAATGAGCATCTTTTCTTCCCTTTGATAGGACCACTGAGCTCGCCAATACATAGCATAGCATTGTTCACAAGAATGAGAATGTTCTGCTATGACACAGCTTGTAGCAGTACCGTGAAATTAAAACGACCCTGACGCCATAGAAAAGCATTCAAACTAGAGGTGCACCGAAATGGACATTTTAAAACCGAAACGAAACCGAAATAAAAAAAATTGTCAGGCCGAAACCGATACCGAAAATTTGTTTTTTTAAATTGTTTTAAAATATTTTATTTATTTTTATGAACTTTTTAATTTTTTATATTTATTTATTTTTATTTATTCATTCATTTTTTATTAAATATGTTTATTTTTTACATTACTTTTAGGGGCTTTTGGCATATATTGGGGGTCCAAACCGACCTCTGATATTTCCCTTTTAAAATAGAAAAAGAGATTGAGAACACAAAGTCCTCTATCTCCTTTCTGTATCGCCTGTTATCAATGAACAGGAATCCTCTATGAGTGTTCCTGTTCATTGATAACTTGAGAATATATATGTTTAGTATAACCACAACTATGAATGAACAGAAGGTGATGTAGATCACTTCCCATTCATAATTGAGGATATAGTTAACATACCATGTCCTCAATTATCTACAAACACTCAGTGATCACTGATCGCCGAGTATGATGGGCGGCTGAGCGGTGTGGGAGGAGACGTTGGACACTCACTGCGCTCTCCTCCCGCAGCGCTCGGCCGGCTATCACAGTTTCTCTCCTCCCGGCTGGGACATAGAGCAGCGCCCAGCGAGGAGGAAAGAAATCAGGGAATGCGCCGATCTATCGACAGGAAAATGGCACTTTCGTCATTATGCCAAAAGTGCCATTTTCGACCGATATGTTTCGGCGGCCGATATATCGGTGAATCCCTAATTAAAACCCATCCATACTTGGTAAAGAAGACAGGGCATACTTATCTTTCCCTCTGCCGCTGAATTCCTCTACAAAGCTTTGAAAACTGCTGAAGTCCAGAGGGGAAACCAGTTGTGTTGATCTCCTGGGTCCCCCAAAGCTCTTACTGGTTCTCTCCTCTGAATTCCCCCATTACAGGCAAATGTTGACCCTTTGTAGTCTCACCACAACTGGGGGGCTGGAGTTTACCTATCCCTGCATTACAAATACACTAGTGATGTTGCGGTCAGAAGGTATGTTCTGTCTTCTTTTACATGTGTGTGGGATGAGGAACGTCTTAAGTGAAGAGTAATTTGTAGAAAGAGGTTTTTATTTGTAATAGGTGGAAAGAAAAAAGCCAACACGTCTCTGGGGATTACGTCTCCCCTTTTTCTGGGCTTTTAGTGAAAACATCAGGTGATGTTGTGGAACCAATCTGAAGGCTGTTTCAGGTCTGTTGGCTGTAACAAAATGTTACAGCCAACAGTTGCATCAGTGTGGGAAACCTATAGATGTACAGGTGAAACTCGAATAATTAGAATATCGTGCAAAGTTTATTTATTTCACTAATGCAACTTAAAAGGTGAAACTAATATATGAGATAGACTCATTACATGCAAAGCAAGATAATTCAAGCTGTGATTTGTCATAATTGTGATGATTATGGCTTACAGCTCATGAAAACCCCAAGAACCCCAAATCCACAACCTCAAAAAAGTAGATTATTACATGCAATCAATAAAACAAGGATTGTACATAGAACAATATCGGACCTCTGAAAAGTACAAGCATGCATATGTACTCAGTACTTGGTTTGGGCCCCTTTTGCAGCACTTACTGCAATTACTTTTGCACGATATTCTAATTATTCGAGTTTCACAAATACACACATTTCGTTTATGCTTTAGAGATATCAATGAGCCAGAAAAACACTTTTTCTAAGACTTACTTGTGACAAACATATTGTAGTGGCTCACACAGACCCAGCAGAGGATGCTGTGGTATTAATGGCTACTCATACACTTGTCACTAAACATGGCTTCTGCTGATGCTTGCTGTCCTTACTAAAGGAACCCTGTGCTTAGAGAAACTTGAAGGCTGCCATTGCTATCTTTTACTTCTGAAAATGTTGGTTGCCTGGCTGACATTTGGATTGAATGTCGAACCGACCTGGAACAAGCATGGAGAACAGGAGTCCTGGATTCAGTTTTACTTGCACACTTGTTCTAGGTCAGCAGCTCTTTTCCTCTCTGCAGGTTTCTTTGGAGACTGAACTCTGCAAACAGCTGAATATACAAAAAGATACATATATGGGGGTTGTTTTACCTAGGATTTGTACTTCTATCCACGTGGATCTTAGATTTACACAGCTATGCCAGGGCAGGAAACCTGATTTTACTCTGCTGTAGTTACGAAACACTTACAAGTCTTGTCCCTCCCTCAGCCTGTGACTGGACAGTGAAAGGAGAAGCAGCAGACAGATGAGTTCATCTCTGTCACTCTGTTCTCCCCTCCTATCACTATGCTTTATGTTGTCACATGAACACGGCAGCACAACTGAGTGGCACTTTGTGCTGTTTCTCCATTGCCCACACTGAGCACTGCTGTACAAGCAATTGCAATTAGCTATTACAAAGTCAAACTACTTAAATTGCTTGCATTAAAAAAAAAAAACATTTGCAGTAATGATGTTTTAATAATGCAAAGCTGGCTTAGTTTGATTTGTGTCTTTTATATCTCTTAGGAGTCTAGCTTTTAGGAGCAAAGGGCATAGGGGTTCTGTACTTTTTAGGTAAAACAGTTAAAAACATTTAAACAGAGCGCTCTGCAAGATGCATATGTAGTCAGGAAGGGTTAAGTAGCAGACCCGACACCCCTTCCTTCTAAAGTAGAAGAGCTGTGTATGGTATGCTTAGATAGTAAACATTTCTACCTCTACCCTCAGCATGCCGTTGTTTGTTTCATGTGTCATATTTCTTCTCCATGACCAATTAGAATTTAAGAACGCTTAGTGACAAACCAAGATGGGAGATTTTCCTCTTTTAATGATTGGCTTTAGTCTTTTGATGTGTGCTTTCTCCACAGATGAGTTCAAGCGTGCCGTATATGTAGCTACAGGCCTGAAGCTGTCTCCTCACTTGGTGAACACTGTGTTCAAGATCTTTGATGTTGACAGAGATGATCAATTAAGCTATAAAGAATTTATTGGCATTATGAAAGACCGTCTGCACCGAGGGTTCAGGGTGAGGAATTACTTTGTAACATTTAGGTCTTTCTCGGTGGTCACTACTTCTGCATTGTAGTGCAGAGTCATCACCATTGGGGATGAGCAGTGGAGCAAAAGCAGCAACAACGTTGAACTAATTAGAGGGACAGATTTTTAGGCAGCCGAAATCAACTTGTGCATCAACTGTGCTGTATATATTTGCCTTTGCAGAGTCTTCTTGTTTATTTTTAATGGCTTTGCTGTGTGTTGCAGAATATTAATGTAACCTCAGCTTAAAGCGACACTAAACTCAGGAGTTACATCTCAAAAGTGCATTCAGGTAACTTAACTATTAACAGCAACGGGAGGAATTGATTAAAACTGGAGTAGACAAAATCTGGAGCAGCTGTGCATGGCAACCAATCAGCTTCTCTCTTCAGTTTGTTCAATTAAGCTTTGAAAATGAAAGGTGGATGCTGATCGGTTGCCATGCACAGCTGCTCCAGATTTTGTTTGCTCCAGTTTTGATAAATTCCACTCTATATATCTTATTTGTGTATCACTCAGCTGTAGATCCTCAAATCATCTCTTAATTGGTGCTGACACTGTCCTTCCTTCTGGAGGGTGGCTACTTTTGTAGCACATGATCCCTGTGTATGTTGTAAAGTAGCCACCGCTCCAAACTCACTACCATGATGGACTACAAGCTCAAATTTAGTTTACTAATTTGTAGTGAGATTGTAGTCCATCACAGGAGTGATCTTGGAGCGGTGACTACTTTACAACATACACAGGGATCATGGGGTACAAAAGTAGCCCCCCTCCAGAAGGAAGGACTTTGTCAGCACCAATTCAGAGATGATTGGAGGATCTACAGTTGAGTGATACAGAAATAAGATACATTTGTGTTAATAGCTGAGGTACTTGAATGTATTTTTAAGTTTAGTGTCACTTCAATAATTGAAGGAAAATAGCTGTCATTGAAAAGCAGACCAATGCAACTTCTAATAATCCTTTTTACAAAGATAACATGATTTCTATTGATACACAAGTTTTAACTTGTAACAAATTTGCTTAAGGCGAAAAAAAAAGAAAGTCAGCCTGTAAAAGTACTAATAATACTTAATGCTGCTGCCAGGGGATTCATTCTTTGCTCTCTTTCAGTTTTTTCCACCACTGGAATCTGCAGCATCGAACACTTCTGGGTGTGTCGGGTGCCTGCGCCTCCCCGTCGTGCGCTATGGTTCCACCTGTCAGTCGTATATGGTCCCCTTCAGAGATGCAGTGGATGGAAACACAGTACGCACTGGGGAGACACAGGCATCTGACACATCCGGAAGTGATGGGACTCACCAGTGCTAGAACTCTTACAAGCTCTTTTTCATTCTTTTTTTTAGTGACAGTGTCTTTTTAAATGAGATAAGCCTTACATTTAGGTGAATAATAATTCTGCTGTTAACAAGGCATGGGATGGTTTTTAAAATGTTGCAAAAGGGACAATGTTATTCTACATTGAACGTATACTCTCCCAGAGTGCTGTCAGTGGGCCCTGAAAGTTTTTGTTGCTGTTACTTTCTGTTCTTTGTTTTACAGGCAGACATGAAGCATTTTTTTATATTTGAAGTTCTTTTTTAGCTTCCAAATTAGCAACCAAATGATAGAAATTGTGTTTAAAAGCTGATTTAAACTAGCACAGTGCCTGTGAAACAAATATTCAATGAATTCCCATACTTTTTAAATCAGTATATCTGGTCACTGGAAAACAGGAAACTGCAGGAGGCAGATTGCTTTGCTTTTTTGGCCCATTATGTTATGCAGGGTAAAGTACATAGACTCATGTGTATCAGCTCCTTTATCTGATAAAGTTTACAATAAATATCATTCATACACACTGTAGGGAAGCCTGTTTGGGAAGGAGCCAATTAATATACCAGTATAAATTTAAAGGAGAACTATGAGGTCAGGGCTTTTCCCCATAGTTCTCCTAAGGGTAACGGGAGGACACAAACTAGCGTCCTCCCGTCACCCAAAGCTCAGTATACCGCGAGCTACAGCTTGCGGTATACTGAGACGTCGCAGACGGAGCGGATCCCGACAATTCTGTCTGGATCCACCCAGCTGCGTGAGTGACAGCTGGCTCTGCCTATCTAGCGGCAGAGCCAGCTGTACCCTCCCCCGTCCGGGAGGGGGGGGTGCCTGCAGGGAGCCGTGAGTGACAGTCACGGCTCTCTGCACGGATATATCGAGAAGTGAGCGATCGACGGTATGTGTTCGCTCACTTCCCGATCTATTGAGCCGACCTGTGACAGTTTAATTGTCACAGGTCAGCTCAGATTATGAGGCTGAGTGAAAATCACTTGCCTCATAATTCTCCTTTAAAGCTACATAAAAAGGGTGCAGACCACTTAACCACCATGCTGGCCACAGTAGAGCCTACCTCCATAGGATGGGGATGGAGAAGATCTTATTATCAGAACATGGAAAGCATTAAAGATTTGTCCGGTAAGACAAAACGTGCCATGCTTCGAATCTATAAACAAAATTACATTTTAAATTCAAATTCCACTATTGTTGACAAGACAACAGTTTTGATAAATTCCACTCTATATATCTTATTTGTGTATCACTCAGCTGTAGATCCTCAAATCATCTCTTAATTGGTGCTGACACTGTCCTTCCTTCTGGAGGGTGGCTACTTTTGTAGCACATGATCCCTGTGTATGTTGTAAAGTAGCCACCGCTCCAAACTCACTACCATGATGGACTACAAGCTCAAATTTAGTTTACTAATTTGTAGTGAGATTGTAGTCCATCACAGGAGTGATCTTGGAGCGGTGACTACTTTACAACATACACAGGGATCATGGGGTACAAAAGTAGCCCCCCTCCAGAAGGAAGGACTTTGTCAGCACCAATTCAGAGATGATTGGAGGATCTACAGTTGAGTGATACAGAAATAAGATACATTTGTGTTAATAGCTGAGGTACTTGAATGTATTTTTAAGTTTAGTGTCACTTCAATAATTGAAGGAAAATAGCTGTCATTGAAAAGCAGACCAATGCAACTTCTAATAATCCTTTTTACAAAGATAACATGATTTCTATTGATACACAAGTTTTAACTTGTAACAAATTTGCTTAAGGCGAAAAAAAAAGAAAGTCAGCCTGTAAAAGTACTAATAATACTTAATGCTGCTGCCAGGGGATTCATTCTTTGCTCTCTTTCAGTTTTTTCCACCACTGGAATCTGCAGCATCGAACACTTCTGGGTGTGTCGGGTGCCTGCGCCTCCCCGTCGTGCGCTATGGTTCCACCTGTCAGTCGTATATGGTCCCCTTCAGAGATGCAGTGGATGGAAACACAGTACGCACTGGGGAGACACAGGCATCTGACACATCCGGAAGTGATGGGACTCACCAGTGCTAGAACTCTTACAAGCTCTTTTTCATTCTTTTTTTTAGTGACAGTGTCTTTTTAAATGAGATAAGCCTTACATTTAGGTGAATAATAATTCTGCTGTTAACAAGGCATGGGATGGTTTTTAAAATGTTGCAAAAGGGACAATGTTATTCTACATTGAACGTATACTCTCCCAGAGTGCTGTCAGTGGGCCCTGAAAGTTTTTGTTGCTGTTACTTTCTGTTCTTTGTTTTACAGGCAGACATGAAGCATTTTTTTATATTTGAAGTTCTTTTTTAGCTTCCAAATTAGCAACCAAATGATAGAAATTGTGTTTAAAAGCTGATTTAAACTAGCACAGTGCCTGTGAAACAAATATTCAATGAATTCCCATACTTTTTAAATCAGTATATCTGGTCACTGGAAAACAGGAAACTGCAGGAGGCAGATTGCTTTGCTTTTTTGGCCCATTATGTTATGCAGGGTAAAGTACATAGACTCATGTGTATCAGCTCCTTTATCTGATAAAGTTTACAATAAATATCATTCATACACACTGTAGGGAAGCCTGTTTGGGAAGGAGCCAATTAATATACCAGTATAAATTTAAAGGAGAACTATGAGGTCAGGGCTTTTCCCCATAGTTCTCCTAAGGGTAACGGGAGGACACAAACTAGCGTCCTCCCGTCACCCAAAGCTCAGTATACCGCGAGCTACAGCTTGCGGTATACTGAGACGTCGCAGACGGAGCGGATCCCGACAATTCTGTCTGGATCCACCCAGCTGCGTGAGTGACAGCTGGCTCTGCCTATCTAGCGGCAGAGCCAGCTGTACCCTCCCCCGTCCGGGAGGGGGGGGTGCCTGCAGGGAGCCGTGAGTGACAGTCACGGCTCTCTGCACGGATATATCGAGAAGTGAGCGATCGACGGTATGTGTTCGCTCACTTCCCGATCTATTGAGCCGACCTGTGACAGTTTAATTGTCACAGGTCAGCTCAGATTATGAGGCTGAGTGAAAATCACTTGCCTCATAATTCTCCTTTAAAGCTACATAAAAAGGGTGCAGACCACTTAACCACCATGCTGGCCACAGTAGAGCCTACCTCCATAGGATGGGGATGGAGAAGATCTTATTATCAGAACATGGAAAGCATTAAAGATTTGTCCGGTAAGACAAAACGTGCCATGCTTCGAATCTATAAACAAAATTACATTTTAAATTCAAATTCCACTATTGTTGACAAGACAATGTAACCCACTTCATCTATATGCATTCCAGGGATTTCAGCAAGTTTCATTGCAGACTTTCAACTGCTTCTCTGTTGTAGATACAGGAACATTCTGTTGCAGTTACCTTCTCAAACAGAATGAATTGATAGTGCTAAGGGAGAGGGGTAGTCCTGCTATATATAAAATCGATCGATTTATATGTTGTAATAAGAGAAAACAGTGAGCCAGTCATATAAGTATGATGACATGACACTTCTGTTTTTTTTATTAAGGAAAGTGCAAAATGGCTTTTGTAGAAATAATATACATGTCCTAAAGAGTGAGGTTTTCCTTTAAGATAGTTGGAACATCTGTATATAACCATCTGTCCTTTTCATGGGTGACTGATGAAGGGTAATTACACATTACATATCAGAATCAAAGTTGAGCAATATTTTTAGAAACAATTACATCTTAGTAAAATTTTGGAAACATTTGATATGTGCATTTGTAGTTTTTGATATGTTGTGCTGCCACCTGCTGTCCAAATATGTAGAAATGTTGTCTAAAAAAGCTAGTTTGTTGGAAAAGTACTAGACTTCGCAGAGCACTTTAGGTTTTTTGAACGGACTTACATCTGGTAATGTATTGTGCATATCAGGGCGGTTCAGATACTTAAAAGGCGATCAGCCAGTCATCAAATATGTATCTAATCTTTTGCATGAACCCCAACGCAAATTAATTAACAGATACATTCTATTGGAAATTAATATTATTGCCGCTGATTCATGAAAAATAGAGCAAAATTATAGCTGTTCACCCCTAGATTAAAATTACAGATTGCAAGATGATATCTCATTTGTTTTGTTTCGCTCCAGTTTTTTAAAACGTTTGGCGTTATAATGTGGCCTGTAACTTTTTATAGGGTTTGTCTGAAGTACCTGCATCTAGGGATCAGTATATACTTTTTTTTTGGTTAGATAATAGGTGCTTAGTTCAAATAGCCTGGCCTTTCTGTTGGATCTAGGAGGTTCAGAGCCATGAAAACCCTTCTACTGTCAAGATCAGATGGCTCTATTTGGTGCACTTCAGTGGCTCTTCCCAGACAAGGATCTCTCTGGTTCAGAGTCCTCCTTAGCCCACCTTTGAGTCATCATGAGTGAATTAATTGGTACTTGTTGTGCAGTCAAAATTGTTTTGAAGGGTTAGTGGTCCATTAAAAAGCACCTGTATGCACAGCAGGCACCTGTAGCTCATGAACTGGCTCTCTTGTCAAATGTCCCAGGAAGTGGGCATGTAGCACACCTCCACTTCATTGACAGCATAGTCTTTAAAGGTTTGTTACTGTGAGCACTCTGATCCAAATTGAAGTGAAAGCCCCAAATACTATCACGCCCATCCCAATCTCCATGAACTGAGATGCGGGTAGCAAAAAACCTAGTCATTTGTCCTAGTCATTTGTCCAACTACTTGAGTCCTATTGCTGTGTGTGTGTACAATTCTTGGCACAGTTCTAATGTGTATATATATATATATATAGTATA